TCAAAAAAAATTACATAAATTATTTTTGTATAATTCGATTCTTTATCTTAAATATGAAAATATATATAATACTATATTAACTTTTTTTAATATTTTCATATTTAAGATAAAGAATCGAATTATACAAAAATAATTTATGTAAATCGGTGTCGAAACATTTGTTTAATTTTTATATTCTTTATTCTTCAACTGTAATTAATTTATTTCGGCTCATTGCCCGTGAAATTATATTTATTTTCATTTATTACTATCGAGCCTTCTCTTAATGTTATTATTATTTTAATATAGGAGTATTAAAATGTAACAAAAATTATGTTACAAAGCACAATTTTGTATTCTAGTTTAGCATATTTTGACATAGCATACACATATACATATATATAAAAAATCCTTATATCGGAAATTATTAAACTCTTATTTATTTAATATAAATACGAAGCCTATGACAGTCTAGCTTCGATCTTAGTTACTTATATATAATTTCGCGTAAATTTATATACTAATATGTGTAGTCTTTTTAAATTGCACGCCGAACATTAGTCGGTCTTGAAACTGTAATAAACTACCGCGTAGTACTAACACGAATTAAATTGATTAAAAATTTAATAATTAATTGATGCTCTCTTTTTTGTATATCGATGTTAAATTTGTTAAAACTGATTTTATTTATTTATTTCTTTATTTTTTACATCGTTATATTAATATTTCATTTTAAATTATTTTTATACAATTATAAGATAAACAAAAAGATAGATACTAAACAATACAAAATCTGAAAAAAGTATTTAATTTTGCAATATTTATACTAAAAATTAAAATGTACATCTACATAATTATAAATTATTCCTTCAAATGCGAAGAACAGACAGAATATAATAGAAAAATTATGAAAATAAATTAATATATAGTATAGAGATATGTATTCAATTACATTAAAAAAAATATTTAATAATATAAGCAGGATATACTTATATGTATATATGACTGCTCCTTTAATTTTAATAAGAGTTCATTATATAGAAATATTTTATATTATTATATTGTAATATTTGGACATAAAGAAGCGGTTTGTATCGCGCACAATGATTTAAATGAGTTAAATTATTAAAACTTTATTGTGCGAGCTTAATTTATCAATTCAGTTGTATCACGGATATAACACTATATCCGTGAGTTGTATATGTACATGTTTGTATATTACTACATATAAATTGTAAGAAATAGATCGCGCATCAGAGTTGAGCCAATCAAGATAAAGCTCCTCTGTCTTGATTGGCTGAATTCCGATGCGCGAACCGCAATCTCATTCCGATCTGCGTCCGCAATCCGTAATATGACACGAGCTTATGGCTAGTCTACATAGAAGTCGTAGACGATAGTGGAGTCTTAAATCGTACGAAACTACCCAATCACAATCAAATATAAGAAATATACTCGAATGGTCAATTTCTTACAATTTGAGGTCTTACGATTGTTACAACTTCTATGTAGAATAGCCCCTACGGACTCCGCAGTCCGCAGTACGACACTGGCTTTAAGTCATAGCCGATTCGCGCGAAATCTCGATAACATAATAAACAAACTAATATGTTGCTAAACAAAGAGAAATGTAAACATGAAAAAAGGACATTATAGTACAGAAGATAGGGTAAGAGAAGGAGTGTTATATTATATTATGGAAATTTAATAGAATAAAGATTTATTTTTAGTTTTGACGTGGAACGGTTAACACAACATCTTTCAAATATGGACCCACTTACTTCAAATGATCCATATTCTTGTGTAAAACCAGGTATTTTAATTACGGAATTTTGTGAGAATATAATATTAAGCATTTATATATAGTATGCTTTTCTTGACTGACTAGAAATATATAAAACGTAGGACAAGAATGGTTTTACTTGCATATTTTCGAAAAGTAAAACTGTCATGCATATTTTAGACATATTTTTTAATTATTTGATTGTATGACTTGCAGTATTATATCTTCTTATATATACAATAATATATATTAAATAATACAACGTTTTTAATACCTTTCATAAAAACAATACGAAATTGTGTACAATATTATGTTTTTAAAAACGTTATATTATATTTCGTATATACTTTATGTTTAACGTATATTATATCTATAATAAGTATTTGAATATTTTTGGAACCTTTGTTTACCAATATCTTTTAATTATTAGATGATGCTAAAGTAGTTCATACCGATTTAGATTTAATCATCGATTTTGATGAAACAGTTATTCACGGAAAGGCAGTTTTGTTCATAGAATCCAAAGCTGATTGTGACAGAATAGTTAGTAAACTTTTCCTTTTTTTGTACAGTTTCTCCATTTTTTGAAATAAATACATAATATCGAACAATTAGCTTTTAGATACCTACGGATTCCAGGAAGAAAAGATAATTGTCAAGGACGATGTTACTGGTAATGCTTTAGTATATAAAATTAATAAATGTATTGATAATATTGGAAGTGAGGAATTTTCTATTATGTTACCGTGGACATTAAGTAATGATAAAAAGGTACATGAATATAAGTATGGCGTTGATAAGATTAATTTTCTGTATAAGTAAGTATAAAATCTTTTTCAAAAATTACAAATTTTAGAAAATATTGATACAAATATTTCATATGTATCACGATATACTATTCAGTTATAGAATTCTGATTGAGTATGAAACGCGTAAAGATTCCCTTGCACTGTATTGGCTAAGAAGGGATCAAACTTCTAGTGGCACACATCCCTTCCTATTAACTAACAATCAAGTAAGCTATAAACGTACAATACATGAATATTAAATTCTATTAATGTGTACAGTATTAATTACTCGATTTTTAGTTTACATATGCTAGAGGCGTATTTCCTTGCCAAGATTCACCGCAGGTCAGATTTACATACACTGCTAAGGTAAGAAATTACGTAGATATCATTTGTATTGATTTTGCACACGCACGTATGTAATATTAATAAAAACCATGTGTGTGTGTCCTATTCCCCACAAAGCGAATGAATCATCTACTAGAGATTAACGTTTGAAGTCGGTCCCGCATTTTCTCAAAATACACGGGTTTTGAGTTTTCTATTCCAAAACGTTCCTAACGGTTGACGCATAACTTCGTTAATTTCAAGAAATCAGTGGATCTCAGAAAATTTTGACATAAAGAAAGTTGTCAGCACATTGTTGTAGCACAATTTAGCACAACTAAAAAGATCAATATAATTGCCTCTACTTTATTCAGTGTTCGTCTCACATCAACTACATTTCTTATTTTTTTAATAAAAAATATTTTGGCGTGAAATATTCAAGTTTAATTTATTTTATAGCAGACTTCATAATTAATAAATATTAGAATATTTTTAAGACCGCAATTGATAAACATCAACAAGAAGAAGGGAAATTACTGATTTTACAATTATAAATTTCTTCACTGAGAGAGAGGGAGAGAGATGTTGTTCAACGATAAAGTACTTTTTTATTATTGATATATAGATAACTTATGTGCGATTGTTTCTACATCTAATACTGAGTCGGGTTTTTGACAGCATTTAATTCTTTCCATCCACGATTTCAATTACTCTTGGAAGTGGGAGGAAATTCGTTGAATTTCTTAGATATCGCAATATGGTTATTAAAGAGAATCGGTTGATATTTAATTGGTATCATAAACCCACTTTTTCGGGTAAATTTTTGAATTTTTATTCTAGTCACCCATCTTCTCAAAAGAAGAGTGTTATTTTTGGATTAGTAGAACGTAACCATATAAGTTATATTATTTCTTCTAAATCGGTGATAACTGATCATAGATTACAACAGGGACATGACTTTGATTGGTCTTAAAAATATACGGTCTTAAAACGATTTTAGTATTTAATAATATATATCTTCTTATATTTTTGTAAAAACATTTATTATTTCAAGGTTTCGTTATTTTTTAAAATAATATCGATAATTATTAATCAAGCATCTCTGTGATAAAAATATTCCAGGTGATCGAAGTGCCTGTTCAGGATGGAACAGGAACTTTGTTCACTTGGAGTATTTTTACTATTTCTAGAAATATGAAAATAATTTAACTATATAAAAGTTGTATAGCATCAAAAGAGCAACAATATATTGTCTAATGTAGCAACTTTATACATTGTTGATGATCAGTAAATAAGCTTTATCGACATTCCGTGTCTTTGTGAATTCAATTCGTTCGTTTCTTGATAAAGAGTATTTCAGAAATTAATCTTTTACTTAGATATGGCTCTTCTTATAGAATTCCGACAGCATCCAGGTTAAAAACGTGAATATAATGTAATCTGTGGTGTGTAGTGACTAACTTGTAATGACTGACTTTATTAAATTTGTTCCATTTTTTAATATCAAAGTTTTATTTGTTCATCAATTATTATTTAATTGTATACAGAGGTCATCATATTTAGTTTTTACTAATTTAATCGTTTTTTCTAGATTTCTGTACCTAAAGCAATCAGAGTTATAGTGGGTGGACGTCAATGTAAAAGTATAAATAAGATAGACCCAGACCGTCACACTCACATATTTTATGAAACGAATCCAATGCCATCATATGCAATAATCATTGTGGCGGGTTTACTAAGGTTACGAAATCTTTATCGTTCAAAGATCATCACTTTGTGCGCTGAGCAGAAACATTTTTTTCAAATTCAAAAAGTATTGACATTTTGTAAACATGCCATCAACATTGCTAATGAGCTATGTGGTTTTCCTATTCAAGGTAAATTATTATTATAATATCGGTATAACTAAAATTAACACTCATAACTAAAAGTAACACTTAACAGTTATAACTAAAAGTAACACTTAACAAAATATTGGCATATTAGAGATAACATTTAATATTGTAAGATGTTCGTTTGATATTAATATTAATGCCAACATGATGTGGATATAACTACTCACACTACAGTAGTGTTGATACACAACACAAAGGGATCCACACATATTAATGTTAATATTATATGTAGTAATCACTAATTTTTTTGTGTTGGTGTTAATATTGTATGAATACACTACTCAACAAAGTTAAAGCATTATCTGTTTTACCCTGCAAAAATGGTCAAACTTTGAGATAGAACAACTTCGTCAAAAATCATTGTATCGAGAAGTTAAAAAAAGCATTTCATAGCTTGAAATCTGTACTTTCCAGAACAATTATTTAACAAACTGTCTTACCGACATTTTATTAAGTTACACAAACAAAAATGAATATGTCTCCTATCTTAAGATTTTATACGAAATTTGTGAGGTTGCGTGGCGCGCATTAAAAATTCTGTAAAAATGCAGTTTAGAGCAATCGAAAGATTGAAATTTTACCTTTGATTTACTCTTTTTGTAATCTTTGTACAATTTTCTTTTTACCGAGTTATTCGATATTGGAGCAAAAAAATTATTTTTACTTCAACATTGAATAACTCAGTGGTAAAGATCACACAAAAGCAAGTTAAAGGTAGAGATTCAGTCTTTCGAGAGATATGAACTGCACTTCTACACAATTTTTAGTTCAAGCCGTGAAACTTCTTCAATTTCGTAAAAAATTTAGTAGTTTGACGCATTTATGTTTATGTAATATCACGAAATATCAGCAACACCGTCCTTTAAAGTACAGTTCTGAAAAGTAAAGATTCCAAGCATTAAAATGTTTTTAAATATTTAATCAGGGGTGGGAAAGTTACTTTGTAAAAGTAATTAATTACAGATAGAGTTTTTTCTTTAAAAAAGTAATTAATTACCCCCCGTTACAAGTTATTGACTCTGAAAAGTAATTTGTTACAGTTACAGTTACTGGAGAAATAACTTTAAATTACTTTTAAGTTATTTTTTCGTCAGAATTTTGACTAGTAGCATCGATACTAGGGCTGCATTCAGAAACGTTGCCCAACTGCCTTCGTGTATCGTTTTACCCTCGTTCTTCATCTAATATTAAACAAGCATAATCCACAGGGTCATCAGAGAAATTAGGACAATTAAAAAAAAGACTTGTTTACATTTACATGTTATAAAAATTGTATTGAAGAAGAAAATTGTATAGCAAAAACGTTTTTCGTTAAAGTAATATAAATGAATATGAAATAGCACATAGACAATGTTTTCTTGCAAACAATATTCTCTTTATATTCAGCTAAAAGTTGCAAATAAATTCTAGATTCCAAATTCCAGCATTAATCCAAAATATTATTAATATGTAATCAAAAATATGTATCAAACAGATACAAAAGTTCTTTGAACGCATTAATTAAATTTCTTTCTTCTGATTAATCAAATGTTTCGAAGCATTTGTAGCTTCCAAATGGATACTATCGCACACTAAAATTGATAAATAAGAATTTGAATATATATAAAGTAACTATATATATATATATATATATATAAAAGTAACTATTAAATTAGTTACTATAGTTACTCAAAAAATGTAACTAAAAGTTAAGTTATAATTACAGATGGAAAAAAGTAACGAAATTAAGTTACAGTTACTGAAAAAAAGTAACTCTATAACAGTAACTTCGTTAACAAGTAACGAGTTACTTCCCATCCCTGTATTTAATATATGATACGATGATTTTTGATGAAGTTACTTTTACACAAAATGTACCTATTTTTGGAGGATGAAACACGTAACGTTTTAATTTTGTTGAGTAGTGCAATAATAATCTATCCGAAATTTTCAAAATTTGTTAAATTACATATTTCAAGTTATATGTACAACAAATTCGTTAATTATCAGTCTTGTATTCTTAATATTTTATTAATAAATGTATATTAAAAATAATAATTGTAGATAAATACATTATATGTGTGCTTCCATCAAATATCCCAGAAATTGAACTACAATGTCGTACTATGATATTTGTGTCATCAACATTACTAGACGAAGATCCCGTTTTCATATATAATACGATTGCTCGAAAAATTGCCCAAAGCTGGGCAGGAGGTTTAGTTACTTGTAAAAATTTCCAACATTTGTGGTTAATTAAAGGTTTTAGTATATTTATTTCTAGTAAAATCTTGCAAATGTATTATTCTGACGGAGCCGAAATAGCATTTATGCGAAAAATAATCTTTTTTGATCTTGATGTCAAGGTAAATTACAATAATTTTATTTAGATGGAAAATGTTGA